GCCTTCGGCTCAGGTCATGATCCCGGAGTCCCGGGATCGAGTCCCGCATCGGGCTCCCTGCTCGGCGGGGAGTCTGCTTCTCCCTCTGACCCTACTCCCTCTCATTCTCTCTGTCTCAAATAAATAAATAAAATCTTTAAAAAAAAAAATAAAATAAAATCAAGGTTGAAGCCATGGATAGTTAGCATTGTCCTGTCCCATGGCCACAAAGTGAATCCATAAACTTATCTTGTAATGTGTGCTCTTAGCCAAAAAGGCATTCTGGTTAGAAAATGTCATCAAATTCAGGAAAAAAAAATACGGCCCTGATCTTAGAAAAATGATGCCAATTGGTGCAACTGATGGTGACCAATACTCTCATCTTTTTAAGTGTCAGTCAGTATTACATTCAGGGCCTTCCTCCCTTTTTCAGATGTGGCAGCCAGGAGAGATGACCCAGGAAGAGAGAGCAGGGGAGGCAATACAAAGATTTCTTTTTTTTACTTTTAAACATTTCAGAAGGATATTATTTCATCAAATATAAAGATTTTAGAATGTACTTCGCCTGATTGGAGCGGCAAAATGTGATGGGTCAAATTCTTTTGTTAACCTAGTTTTCATATTTTAAGTGTTAGGATGATCTCTTCAGTACCTTTAGTTTAATGCCTTATGATGAAGATGATTCATAAAGGTCTATTAGTAATGATACATAAGTAGAGTAATTTTATTTTTAAAAAGATCTTTAATTTATTCATTAGAGAGAGAGAGAACAAAAGTACAAGCAGGGGGAGGGGTAGAGGGAGAGGGAGAAGCGGACTCCCCGCTGAGCAGGGAGCCCGACGCGGGGCTCCATCCCAGGACCCTGGGATCATGACCTGAGCCAAAGGCAGATGTTTAACTGACTGAGCCACCCAGGCGCCCCCATAAGTAGAATAATTTTAAAGGTACATTTTAAAAAAGACATTCTAATAAAATTTTGATCAAGGGGCACTGTGTGTTATATGCTACTGATGAATCACTGAACATTACATCTGAAACTAATGATGTACTCTATGTTGGCTAATTGAATTTAAATTAAAAAAAGAAAGTAATTATTGATAAAAAATGTTTGATCAAGGGGAGAAGGGATTCGTGTTTTACTAATTCTGCTTTGTCATTGAAGAAACTGAGGCACAAAAAGTTATCTGCTAAAGGTGACACCCTGAGTCAGGGAGCAGATGAAAGATGACAACACAGAAAGCAAGAGTATGGACTGAATCATGTACTTGCATAAGCAGACCAAGTCATCCAGATATGTATTTTCAGGTTTTCTATAAAACATCAGAGACTTTAACATGGAGAAAGGACAAAAATAGATAGGACCGGAGCACAAAGAAATTCCTCATAGCAACAGGATGAGGTTATTCTTCAATGCTGAAGTCCCTCTTGCTCAGGGGTGGAGGTCTGATGCAGAACTGGACGTGTGACATGATGTAGCTCCTCCCCACACAGCTGGTTTCTGGCACACGGGGTCGAGTGTTTCTGCATTATAGGATGGAACTCAGGAGTCCAACTTCGTTAAACAAAATATGGGTTCAAATCATAGAAGAGATAGAAAGTGTCCTAAACAAAGGTTTTTGAGCCTGAGGGATGGACGGCTCTACTCTAAGTCAGAACAGATTTTTAGTGATGCTAGATCCGTGCCAGGAAAGGAATCTCAAAGAGCCTTACTTTCTTCTGCAGGCATAGGAAGCACAAGAACACGGCCTGCGCTGTGCTAACCACACAGGACAGAGAATGGGTTCTAATCCTAGTTCTTGATCTACAACGTTTTGGTCATGACATCGCAGGTAAACTCATTCACCTACCTGGCCTACGGTTTTATCGTCCTTAAAATAAGATGGTTGGGCCAGATAGCCTTGAATTCCTTCCAGATATAGTTTTCCAGGAGTCTCTGGCCATGAATTTAAGGAATGAGTAATTATTTTTGTTGGATAAACAACTGGTTTACTGATTTCCCATCTCCTCCCATACTCTCATTGACTGATTGTCTGACTGTCCCCAATTCTTTATCATTATAGTATACGTGAAGCTTTGGTTTACAAGAGCATATAAGTGACTAGTTAGGTCAATTACTTGGATTGTGTACATTCCTAAATAGTACAAGTGTATCTCAGATATTGCAGGTTTGGTTCCAGACCTCCACAATAAAGCAAATATCATATAAAACAAGTCAAATGAACTTTTGGTTCCCCAGTGCATATAAGTGTTATTT